CACAAAATGTCATATTATAATCGTTTAGGAATAGAAATATGTAATGTGATATACACAAAATAATAATACGAAATTACTAATATAATGTAATACTATATGTTATGTTTCTTTCACCAGTTCTCAGATTTGAGGCTTCTTCTTTCCGAACTAGTAGTAGACTCATGATGTTCAGTAAAAAATTGCAATAATTTAATGCTGAAAAACATATTTTAAATTTGAATGCCCAAACCCGTCCAGCTGTTTAAACACAAAGGAATATCATACATATAACATACAAAGACACGTAGAAACTGAAGATATATACAAAAATAGTGTGTAGTATTCAAATTTGCAGAGCTTTAAGCTCTACAATGTAAATAATATTTACAATTATAGAACACATGTAAAATTTTTACAATCAAAATCCATTTGTGGAGTAAAAAGTACATTGGTTCTACCACTGTATCGTAACATAAATTAAATCATGGCCTACTTATACCACTGACGTTTATAGCTTTTAATTTCCTTTCATCACAAAAAAAATAACATTTACACACAAAACGTCAAGAATTGGTTATAAAAGTCATGAATTAGTACCCACTTCGAATCATTGATCAAGATATTATAAAACAAGTTTAACATTTTGCTATAATCAAATTCTAATGACTTGATAGTCACTCATGGTGTCTTAATTATTGCAATATAGAATACTATAATATAAAAATGAATCGCTGAATGTGTTGGTAAGCGCAAATCTCGAGAACAGCTGAACCGATTTCGCTAATTCTTTTTATAGAATATTCCTTAAAGTACGAAGGTGGTTCTTACGGAGAAAAAATTTAAAAAATTGCCTGAAAAAGCCTAAGAACAACACTTTTCTATAGTCCCATACAAAAGATTCGTAATAATACTTAAAAGTCAATTTGAACTTTAATACCATACCATAACGTTTAATTGTTAGTGGAGAGGTTCCGGGAAGGCAAAACAATTGAGTTACGTTTGTATCGTATAAATATTATTGTCAATATTCGTCAATATTATAAACAAAAAAAAATTGTATGGCTAACGCTGACTAATAACTATTTATATCTATTAAAAACGTACCTAGCGACGTACCCGAGGGAAGCGAGGGTGAGCCGCTAGTATGGAATAAAGAAGACTCAAATATTTTTTTCTTACTCTTTTGCTTCTTTTCAATATATTACGCTTACGCAAATTCCAGCGCAGTAAATGAAACACCTGCTTGCTACTTTGACAAGGTTTTTGCAAATACATCTTATATTACTAAAGCAAATTTGTTTGTTGGTTTGAATTGATTTAATGGATAAATGTGACTTTTTGCATAGAATTTGATCATTAATGCAAGGGAGACTTAGGTTACTTATCATTTCAACACATTAAATTCTTCCCTGTACAGTGATGTACTTAGAATTACCAATTTAATCAGATATACATGGTGTTAATTTAACGAATTCCGTACAGATAAAGGACTATTAGTGACTTACACTCGCTTCACTCGGGTGTATCCCTTTGTGCCTAACAGTAGCCCTATATGTTACTCCAAGTTCTGTGTACTGAATTTCATCCAAATCTGTTCAGCCGTTTCAGCGTGAAAGAGTTACAAACATACGCACATTTAAAATAAAAGTATCTTTTTTTGTGATTTCTTTGCGGATTTATTCTGATATTTGGTTCCCGACGCTTCGAATGCTTTACAGCAATCATGGTTACGGGAGAGACCGTCTCTTCGTTCGAAAAGATAGTTTAATTTTAAATGTCAAATATTCGTGTAAATCTAAGAAAGTATTAAACATACGCACGCACATAACATACAAACTTCGCATTTATAACGTTTGCAGTCCGTATTCTAACGCTTAAAAGTCTAAACAAATGAATCTACACACAACATATTACTCTTCAAACCTACGAATGGTGAAAAGGAACGCGATTACTGAAGGAATGAGATAAATTCCAACAAAAAACGATCTATTCAGCCCACACAATAAGATTTATAGTCACCGATAAAAATACCACGTTGGTTTTATCAAGTCGTCGCCTTTCGCTATAGAGTAGGTACTGCGTTGTGCGTACGAGTAATTTGTAGGATAGGAACGTAAGTAAATAAACAATGGTGCACTGTGCGCAGTTAACGCAACCAAATCGGAATTACGACATATAAATAGACGTTTGTGATGTCATTGCTGAGACACTATACAAAAAAATTACGTGAATTATAAAACTAGCTAAGAAAATGTAGATTTTAATTTTTTTCATAGTGCTAAATTCAAAGTTATACAAAATTATGTACGTAAATAAATATGTGTATACTTGTATTCAACCCTTTTTAATGTCCCACTGTTGGGCACGGGCCTCCTTTCAATACGAGGGGAATCAGGCCATAGGCCACCACGCTGGCCAAGTGCGGGTTGGCGGACTTCACATGTCTTTTGAAAACTTGCTAGGTTTTCTCACGATGTTTTCCTTCACCGTAAGGCAAGTGGTAATCATGTTAGAAATGATTCGCACATGTATCAGAGGTGCAAGACCCGGGATTTGAATCCGTTTCACTCGGTCTCCCAAGCGAGCGCGTTACAACTGGGCTACCACTGCCTTATACTTATTGCAAACAATATAAACACAAAAGAGAATTATATGCACACTGCACAGTTTTGTATTATAGTACCTGGGTTACCGAGCATCGCTTGGAGTTTTTGGACTAAAGTATATTTTTTTTATTTTTTAAATAACTAAAAACTGGAATAAATATATAAAAAAAAACAAAAGTAAAACCACTTAGCCACTTAACCACGATGCATATGCCCAGCGTGCAAATTACAGAATTATATTTTGCGTGGAATAATGCAAAAGTAAACTGCATGAAAACTCAAAAACACGCGTTTTCTCAGACAAGACTAATCTAGATCGATTTATCGTCCCCGAAGCCCCCCGTGTACTAAATCGTTGGAGCCGTTTCCGAGATTCAGTTTATATATATATACATATATACAAGAATTGCTCGTTCAAAGATATAAGATAAGTACTAGCGACTCACCCTCAATTTGCTCGCGTTTGTCCATACGTACGTTTCAATGGTATTATATGTACTTCAATGGTATAAAATCTGTTTTACCTTTTATCAGTATTATAAAACAGTTATTTTAGCAGTAGCAGCAGCACAAACACTGCAAACGTTGTAGTAGTTTCATACTACAAACAAAACTAATAACATGTTATGTTAGTTACATGAGCAAGTTTATCGCATGTTTACGTATCTTGATTCGACTTTAACTATTCGAATAATGAATGGGCTTCCCTTAGATTTTTCTTATACAGGACTTATCTCTAAGGTCTTAATCGGCAGAACAGATTAAAAAAACTTAGTATTCACTATTATACGCTCTCATATAAAGTTTTGTGTATGCAAATATAGAAATCTTAAATACTTTCTTGCCATAAGGGCTTATGTAGCTTGAATTATTTTAAATTTGACGTGAGATAGAGGCAGAGTATTTTAAGCAACCTTTAAACATTTTTACAACAAAACATTTTTGTATCTGTACACACGTAAAAAGTTATAGGTACTTGTTTGGTTTTTTAGAGCATTTAAATAAAAACATGTTTTTTTTAATTATTTTTTTGTTTGTTTTTATTTTATTAGTGTCCTTCTCAGCAAACCCTTTCATTTGATATCTATATCATGAGGGTGCATAAAAAAACATAGTCCCGCCATCTTTGGGAATCCGCCATATTGAATTTACAACGACATCACTTTGTTTACTGTGTTTCGCTCATCAAGCCTTTTTATTTGCTGTCCATATCATAAGAAAATGGAAATCGTCATTTTGTAAGCGAAATCTCCATTTTGTATTGGATTAAAAATGGCGAAATTAGGTAATCGTGCAGTCTCGAGAAACAAACGTGTGTTCCAAGTTTTAGCTCAATCAATCAAAATTTAACTTATAAGATTTGATTACAGACCGACACCGGGACAGGTAAAAACTAAATAAAACCAAAATTAAAAAAAATACGGACAAAAAAACTGTGGTGCTCACATATTCACTATAAAAAAGTTTATTTCTAAAGTAGTAAATTTTTTTAACAAACGTTTAAACGTACAAAAGAATAAAAGTGAACTCTATACTTTACTTAAAATACCATCATCTCCATACTAAATACCAATCCACTCGTAGTTCAAGACGTGATATAGTGGAGAAAATTTACGATTTTTTTTAAACTACGATAAAGTGAAGAAAGAATTTTATCTTGAATGCTTTGGGTATTGAATCAGAATTTGTAGTATTTCCGGTTATAAATTTATTTGACTTTGAACTTTCTTATATTTACCTGTAAATATTACATAATTACATACATTTTAATTTCTTATTAATGGAACGCGCATTTAGAATTTGCGGCGCATCTTTAAGGCCAGAAGATGGATAGGTTGATGGATAGATACTCTGAGTTTGGGCTTATTTTGTTTGATTTGACAAGCCTAACACGTTATAATAATTCTTACTTTGCTACTACTGTCTACACTAAAAAGGGAACAATAAAAACTTTTTAACAAAAAAATAAAAACCGACTTCAAACAAAAGCACTAAAAAGTAAAAAATAACTGATTGGTAGTTTTCATTTACTATACATACCTAATCAAATATTTTCGAAGTCGGCGTGCTTTGCTTTGTATGGGCTGGCACCGATTTCGAAAATATTTGATTAGGTATGTATTTAATAGGTAGGCTTTAATTACTTAGCCAAAGTAGGTATTAAATATGTTGACTAGGATACCCAGCTATCATCATACTAAACTTAATCAAAATCTATTCAGTAGTTTTCTCTTAATCCGTTCCTAGACAGACTGACAGACAAAAAATATAAAAATAATAGATTCGGCCTCCGTATATATAATAATGACTATTTCAATAAGATTCTCCAAAAAAAATATTTAATGTACAGATTTGACTCTGTTAGAAATTTATTATATGTATGTATAGATTAAAATGAATTTTCAATTGTTACAGATTGTACAAATTATTTAGCTCAGCCTATTATGAAGAACGGGAAGCCCGCCGATCCCGCTTACGATATAGATGTAGCGAGTAAGTATACCTTATAATATAAGAATACTTTTTGATCCTTAGGGGGTTTCCCTTGGGATGAGGGATAAATAAGAAAACCCCATATCATTTTTTGCTTTCAGCGATATATTATACCGATATCTTATGTTATATTTCCATATAAAAATTAAATATTATAACTTATAAGCATTCGCCGTTTAATTTCAGTGATAATATATGTTAAGTACTTGGCACTCTATTGTTATCTCTTTATGTAGTTACTCAAAATAAAAAAGTAAAAAGTTAAAAAAAATATAAAGTAAAATATTTATATTATAAAATGAAGAACAAAGCATTCGATATAAAAATTCAGAGCAAAAACAGTCTTAACGAACCATCAATCAATCTTAACTGTCACTGTGATGTAGTACGTTGTTAAATGTGACCAAACAAAAAGAAACATTTATGAAGTATACAGAGAAATGAGTGTAAAATAACACTATAAAATGCTATTATTAAAGCAGTATATACTACATATATGGTCTTTTATGATGTTTTAAAAAATGTGTGCCCGTTGTACCTAATTTTCATATAATATTGTACAATGAGTGTTTAATGAGAGTACTCTCCACTAACTTTTAAATAGGCTATGTAACTGGTACACTGTATACAATCTATCGAGAGTGGAGATGTCTCTAGTATACAATTAAAAATATAGGAGTTTAAAGTATTGTATCTGAGTAACATAATATTTTGATATGTCGATTACGATTATAGAATGTCATCTATCGAGGCCCGTAGACGAAGAATAGGGCTAAAACTAAAATTAACCATTACTAATATTATAAATGTGAAAGTGTGTTTGTTTGTTTGTCCTTCTTTCACGTCGAAACGGAATGACGGATTGGCGTGATTTTTTGTGTGGAGATAGTTGGAGGAATGGAGAGTGGCATAGGCTATGAGTGATATACTCGTAGACTTGTTATCGCGGGAACTTATCTAATTCCCACGGGAAAACACGTTATAATACAATCCAAAAAAATGTTTATGATTAGAATTACTTGAAACTTGGTATTAATGCTCTTCAATGCCATTAATTAAATACGTGTTGTAGCATTTTTCGAAATTCAATCATTATAATAAATATACTGATTGGTAGATTAATTTAAAATCTGTGCACTTGAGTCATTCGTAAAAGCAAGTTATGAGCATCTGCCTGCCCTTTTGTTTATCTGCATATATTTGGCAATTTGTTCTATAAAAGCTGATAAAAGCTTCGAAAATAAAGCTCATCGTAAAAGCGTTCAGAATCTTTTGCCTATGCAAATTACGGATGGATACGTTAGTAACTTATTCGATAAAATTTACACAGTGTTATCTATCTATATTATTACAAAAAGTGGAATTTCATAGAAAAACCAAAGACTAGTATCTTTATTCAAGAAATTCCTTAGAACAAATTCTAAACTAGTTTAGAAAATTAAATTGGAACAAAAACTTATATAAGACTAGCATTGCCCGCGGCTCCGCCCGCGTTTAGATGACCAAAAAACAAATTCTTAGGTTATGCATATTATTATACTCTTACATTGCAGTTTTTGTATTTATTCTCAGAAATGAGATATTTTCCCGCGGTAAAAAGTCTCCTATATGTTGACAAAAACTTATATAAGATAACATATAATATTAATGAAACGCTAAGAAGTAATTGAGTGTGCACACGACACTGGCGTTAAATAGATCGTAGAATGCTGTTGACAGATAGCTACAAAATAACAGTTAAGAGTATATGTATAAAAATACACGCTGATCAGACAGATGTTTATCTGTCCTTTCCGAAATAAACGAAGTTGTCAATAACGACTATTATCTGTTTATTATGTCCATTTTCTTGTCGATTTTTGGCTTTTTATTTTGGTTTGGATGAATCAAATTATAATGTAAACAAGCGGTTGATTCCCCATACAAACTTTCATCCCCATTTTCACCCCCTTAAGGGATTATTTCCGGGATAAAAAGTATTTTATGTCCTTTCCAGAGTCTCAATCTATCTTTTTACCAAATTTCATCTAAATCGGTTTCGTAGATCCAGAGATTACCCCCTACAACGTCACAAACTCACAAACTCACAATTCACAAACTCACAAACTTCACTTCTTTATAATATTAGTATAGATGAATCAATAACTTTACTATATACCATAATAATGAACCTTTGCCATGATAATAGTGCGAATATTAATCGGTAAAGTCTATAAGAAGTTATAATATCACAAATAAATAGAAATGAACAGAAATAGAGTATGTAATTATATTACCAATGTAAAAAATGTAATTACGACAAATTTTAAAAGTATAAGGCGAATCGATTTATCAAACCTGAAGAGGCTTGTTACGTTTTGGAACAACAGCTCTAACAAGTTTCAGACTTAGTCACATACAACATCGATTTTTCAATATTTTATATATTTCTATATCAGGTTTCAAATAAAAAATGTGGTAAATATTGAATAATAATCAAATTATTAATTATTAGTATAGTTAAATCATTTGATCGATTATCTTTCAACAGGGAATTGAAGTTTGAAGTGATATTTCTTTGCAGACTACGTTCGAACGATGATCTCTTTTGGCATCATCAGTTTATTCGTGATGGCTATGGGTTGTGGCTTCTCTGTTTACACCTTCCGCAACCCACGCTACATGTTCAAACGTCTCGCCGCGGGCATACATTTCATCAGCAGTGAGTAATTAGGTTTTATGATATAACTACTGACAAATAAATAACCGCCACTACAATAGTCCTTGAAAAATATATATGGACCCACATTGTAGTTGCGATTTCTTTTATTTTGATTTAGACACATTTTTATTCTGTCCATAAACGCGTATATGGATAGTATAAAAATGTATTCAAAGCAGGAATCGAACTTGTATCAACCAATGTAGAGATAAGTGTACTCTTAACAACTTAATATACATATACATATAACATTACAACAATAAAATAATTTTTCATAACAATAACAAAATATCATACTGTTAATAATTAAAACATTAAAATTGAAAGAAAAACAAGTCAGATATGAAATATTTTAATGAAGACTGCAGCCAGATTATGAAATAATTTACCTACACCGGTTTGCTCGCGAGCTTTTTAATTGAAATATAATAATCGTACGAACCTTATTTCATAATTACACGCTACCCGATTCCAAAGGGATCTTGCATAATAATATTCAGTATAATTATAAGGTAGTGGAAAATTGAAATTACAGATCCTAGCTTTCATAACATTAGAGAGCTTTTATACTTCATATCCTATAGTCTAGGTATTGTTAGAACTTTCAATACAAATCTAAGATTAAACTTAGATTAAATAGGATACAAAAATTTTACTTTTGTGCCACTAATATAATTCGTGTTGTAATTTTTACGAGTTTATAGTTTAATTTAGACAATATTTATCAACAGCGTCGTGCACAATCGTTGTTGTGCAAGTGATGATGTCTTCAGTGGACCATATGAAGAAGAACTTGAAGTTCGTGTATCCAGAGCGTGCCTATCACTAGTAAGCTTTTATTGTATTTAAAAACTTTAAACTAAAGTAATTATAATTTTTTTAGAAAATCAAAATAAACTGACATCTAAATAAAAACTTAAAAAAAACTGACTTCCAGGCTTTTAAATGTAAAAAATAACTAATCAGATATTTTCGAAGTCGGTGCCAGCCGATGCAAAGCAAATCTTATGTATTTCGATACGTAAAATACATATTTATCTAATAGATATTCATATCTTAAAATATTGTCGGCTTTTTATATTATAGGTAGTATATATTTTTTATATTTTAGTGCCTGGAAGTCAGTTTTTTTAAGTTTTTATTTTTCCATTTTTAGTGTAGACGTAATAAGCTAAAGCTAAAGCTATATGTTTTTAATAACATACTCGATTATAGAGTTTTTTTTAAATAATTTATTGTTGATTTTTAAAAAACCGATTTCGATAAAATTTATATGGAACCACTTGGGAAGTAAACACACATTACTTAGGTACCCTTTGAAACAAAAAAAATCCTAATCCGTTACAAAAAAATATCTAATCGGAACATACATAAAAAAAAAGATTCCGACGAATTGAGAACCTCCTCCTTTTTGGAAGTCGGTTAATCACTTCAAAATAATTTGTCCTAAGAAATGAATTTAAATACAATTGCGCTATAACCAACTAATTTAAAAGAATTATGAAAATTTATTAGTCACACAAAAAAACTTAATCGAATTTATAATTTCTTCCGTTTTGAAGTGAGTCTAAAAGCTTTACAACAAAAGTTTAACAACCGCTCTAACTAAAATTACGCGAGCGTAATGCTTGGTAATCAACAAATCGATAGAACAATATAAATGCCAGTCACTCAAAAATGACAGCGCAATATATCGCCCATGTTTATAAATTAAAATCAATACCGAATTGTTGTATGCAACTAACCTTATATGATTCAAAATATTACATCCTCCATTTTGTATAAGTTTATATTAAATAGTTTCAAATTGACTTTAAAATAAACTTTCTCATTAAATCTTACCACATTCAATTTTTGTTAAGCCTATTATTAGTTTATTAGAAATATTTACAACATTGATGACACGTTTGGCTCAGGGTGTAGTGTCCCTACTTGCTGTGCCAGCGGACGCGGGTTCGAGTCCCGCTGGGGGCATTCATTGTGTGATGAGCACGAATGTTTGTACTCCAGTCATGGGCGTTTAAATTTATAATATGTATGTATTTAAAGTTTATATATGTGTAGTGTATTAACTATCTGGTATCCTTAACACAAGCCTCGTAGCTGACCATGGAACTAGATGGTGCTGTGTGTTAATGTACCAACATTTTAGATTCCTTTTTTAAATTATTTGTATTATTATCATAATATAGTATAAATTAAGGTTACGTTTCAATTCACGGAGCATAGATTGGTATAGCACATGTAAAGCAGGTGTTTCGAATTCGCTTATACAGCTTCGTGTAAGCATTCGTTTAATCGCTATTAGAGGAATGGTTTAAGAAACCATAAGTTATAAACAGAAGGTACAGATATTTTTATTTATAGATAAAATATATATAATGTAATATATATATATATTTACAGCTACCACATCAGTTTTTTCATGGCATGGTTCGTGGTGTTGGTCAACCTGTTCGCGGCTGCATCCTTCTTGTGGTACTCGCGTAAGAGAAAGGGGGATAAGGCTGCCACAGACGAACTGGCTATGGCTGATGAACCTACAATCATCGGTCGATGACGCTTCAACTTACAGTATATCCAACTCTCGTTGAAAGGACACTGCCTCAAGTCTATTTTAAACAGTGCTCAAATGACTAATAGCTATAAAATTGTAAGATATATAAATGTCTTCCATATACATTTTAAAGGCAAGTATTTCATATATTTTAATACCGCGTCGGCAAAATTGATCATCGGGCACCTCATTTTCCCCGTATCCATAACTTTGGTAACTCTTTGTTCTGTTCTTAATTACGAATTGAGAATTTTACGCTCAGCAAACAAAAGATTCAGGTCAAATTTACCTTTCGTGGTATTACGATTTAATACAAAAATTTTCTTCAGCGAATATACTTTACGGTTTGCTATATTTTTTACGCCTTGTTAATCTTATACGCGTCTTGCTTTTTTACGCTTGAAATACGTTATGGGTATTGTATTCATCTCATATTTTCCTTAGACCTATGAGATTAACGACAGCCTTATAATTATTATTATTAGTCTAATTCTGTATGCGATTCAAATACGCTCAGTTATATAGTAAATGTTTGGACCACATGATTAAATTATAAAGTATTTAAATTTTTAGTAGTTAATAAGTGAAATGGGCAAAAAATTATAAAATTCCATACTAAATACGGTCTAAATTCATCGAAGACATAATATGCATTTGAATAGCCAATTGTACGATTCATTGATCAATGTAAACAAGCTATTCGAAGTGTGTGTGATTTAAAAATCTACTAAAAATAACCTAGCCATAAAACATATCACAAAAATATAATATAAATATAAATAAGTATTTATATAGTAGATAATATCGTTACATTAAAACTATTTGAACCGCATACTATTTGTTATAATAATTGCTGCCATATGTTATGTACAATGTAAGTAACTATCATATAACTTGTTCTAGTCAAACTTATATACTTCTATACTTTCATTTCGTAATTATCACAATGAGGAATATATCTTATTGAGAATAAATATATTATATAAGTTATTTTATGTAATTCTGATGACTCATCTATACATATAATAAAATTCTAACTGAGTCAAATCTGTACATTAAATAATTTTTTGGAAAATGTTATTGAAATAGACATTATTATGGATACAGAGGCCGAATCTATAGTTTTTAGAATTTTTGTCTGTCTGTCTGTTACCGCATCGCAGAAAAACTACTGGACGGATTTTGATGAAATTTGATATGGTCATAGCTGATTATCCGGGTCAACATATAGAATACTTTTTACCGCGGAAAAATATCTCATTTCTGAGAAAAAAACAAAAACTGTAATGTAAGAGTATACTAATATGTAGAACCTAAGAAATTGGTTTTTGGTCATCTAAACGCGGGCGGAGCCGCGGGCAATGCTAGTTTGAAAATAAATATTGTAATAAAAAAACGTTACTATGAAGTTTTTCTATTACACTCGGACAGTTTATGTTTACATTTAGCATGTAAAAGAATATAATATGTTGTTCACGTGATTTTTACGCAAATTCTAGCTTGATACCTACATTTGATGAAAATTAAAGTAAAACCTATACAAATATATATCTCAATTACAATCAAGACAAACAAGTATAAGTGTACAAGTTATACATACCTACATATATGTATATTGATAAGTATATCAGAAACTAACGTTTAGAAATGCCTCATATAAAAGACAATTTTTATATTTAACTAGGTATACCAAATTGAGATGATTACGGAATCAGCTATTATTTATTTTCATAAACTGATTGTCAATCAATGAATTTAATTTGTCAATCAATGAATGAGACCTATATTATTGTGCTAGAGGTTTTAATAAATTGTAGATAATAAGTATGACTATATAGCTTTGGAGTAAATGTACTGCAAAAATTCTATTCATATGAAATTGCTCGTTTCATTTAAATATCGTATCGCTTATGACGTACGAGAAGAAAAGATTTATTCATATTTATTTTATTCAAGCAACCACTATGAACTAAAGTTTTTGTAAAACTTTTCAGTTATATAAGAGTAATACGTTTTTAAATTTACGCGAATATTTGACATCTATAATATATATTAAAATGAATCCCTATTTCCCTTGGTCACGCCATCACGCGTGAACGGCTGGACCGATTTAACTATTTTTTTGGTTGTGTTTGTTATTATCAGGAGAAGGTTCTTATAAAAGCAAAAAATTAAAAAAATGCGCGGAAAATTATAAAATTTAAGAATTAAGTATTCTTTAAGAATACTTAACAACCATATTAAAATGTATATGGCTAATGCTGGGTAATAACTATTTATATATATTCAAAACGTACCTAGCGACGTACCCGAGCGAAGCTAGGGTGAGCCGCTAGTTTTAAATAAAAGTGTCTTTTCGGGTGTTTTCGCGTATTTATGTAGATTTTTGATTTCCGACGTTTCGAATGCTTTACAGCAATCATGGTCACGGGACAGATTCCAGATGTCGGTCCGTAAATCCGAAAAGTTACTTTTATATACGAGTACATAAGAGTTTTTAGTATCAGCGACTTCTTACGTCTTTATAGAAAGAAATGTTGAAATAAATAGCCATTATTTTCTTCGATTCATCCAAACAACAATCTGCACTGATTCAAAATGCAAGATATTGTGTTTTTTTTTTATTAAAAAGTAATATATACTCCTCTATCCTACGTAGTATAATTTGTATATGCTGGCAATTATTTTTTATTATTATTATGACATAAGTTTAGCTCTTATTTAAAATTGGCCTAAAGATTCGCTTAAGCATTTTCACTATTTTCTATATTCGAATTCACGGCCTCTTGAAAAATCCAGCCTATATGTTAAATTAAGATGTAAACTATTAAATTTTTTATCCAAACCTCTATAAATGTTCTAATTTTATTCTTTTAACGTCAATATATCATAATGAATATCATTTCGGAACTATACGGTACTAAACTAAAAAACTGTTGTTTGTTAAAGTTAAATATTATATTAAAGTCAATTTTCATTTACTTATTTACTATACTTATAGTATATTCTATAGTAATAAATAATTTGGTGAAGTTGTTATAAGTATGAATACGGTGACCAATTATGACTGTTTCATAACAATTTAAAATTTGTATAATCTTCCCTGAATCAATATTTATCAGATGTTTTATTAATGAATTGTAAATAAATCGTTATGTTAAGTTTTCTATATTAAAAACTGTTTTTATTCCAATAATATTGCATTGTCTTGCGTGTTGCTGTTATGTATGTACGTTCAATTTATTTTAATAAACACTTATTTGAGTAAATAAAACTCTTTGTAACGTTTTTTATTTACCTTATAATATATTTTTTAATATTAAAATAGAAATTTATATATTTTTTTAATATTGTTTGATAAGTCCTTACTATAGCTTTGATCAATTAAATTCATAATAATTAGTCTAACTTGTCTTTTCTAATAAATGAAATAAATTATGTTACTATTGTTAAAAATTAAATTATAATAGTATATGGTACAAGAATATCTTTAAAATATTAAACATACTTTTGTAATTTGAAATAATCAGAACTTTATAAAAAACCTCATATGTTTTATGTGTTTCGAGTACCTTTTAAAGTACCTTAGATTTAAACGTAGAGGTAATATTATCTCATCGAGTTAGTGCGGCGTAAATTACAAACAACCTCAATTTGTCTTGGCATTAGTGTCGCTGTGAAAATAAACAATGACATACTTTCATAATGTAGACATTAGTAATTCTTTATTTTATCCAGTCATAGAGAATTAATTTTTATTAAATGTGTTCATCAAAACATATAATTTTGTTCCCAACATCAAATAAATTTCGAGAGTGCTATATGAATATAGCAGCGAGTATTCGAGTTCATAGTTTCTCTAGTTTGTAAAAAGAAAAATCTTACACACTTTACGTCGGTCTATTTAAAGCTGTGCATTGTCGAGAAATCTGGCAGCCGCCCAGCGTCAGCCTGTGACACTGCCAACCTCAGACAAAGGTTAGTGGCCTAAAAAAATCGCCGAAGGGAAATCCAGTCGTGCTAATGAACCGATAAAAGTTTTTAAATACAATCAAGGAAGTTAAAAAATATAGTGTCACAAATTTTCTTTATTATTTAACATAAAATATGAATTACTAAAGGCGGCTGTACACTTCCGTCCGAGAGCTTGGCATATTTCGCCGAAAGCTATCGTCCAAGTACAAATACTAGCATTTCATACAACATAAGTGCATAATTACGAAGGGGTACACTTTTATTTAGTGAAGATAGATGAGTTAGAAATTACGATAGCTATTATCTCTAAGCGCTTTCAATTAATATGACTACGAGTACCTGTTGATATATTATGTAATACATTATTGACGACACGTTTGGCTCAGTTTGTAATGATCCTACTTGCTGCGCCAGCGGTCGAGGGTTCGAGTCCCGCTGGGGGACATTCATTTGTGTGATGAGATATGTATGTATTTAAAGTTATATATGTATAATGTATCAACTATCTGGTATCCATAACACAAGCCTCGTAGCTTACCATGGAACTAGATGGTGTTGTGTGATAATGTCCTGATATATTTATTTATTATTTATTTCTTTATTAAAACCAACAATAAATAAAGTAGACGAGGCGAGAGTGAAAGAGACGAGATACACAAAAGCGAGACGAGTGCCAGTACCCTTCGGAATTGGCATCACGGAGTATCCCAGTGAGAGTGAACAGCCAGTGTATAAATTTTTGTTAAATAATTATTGATCAATTATGGATCTTAGCCTTTAAAATTTATTACAAATCTGGATTTTATATTTTGTATTAACATCAATAAACTAATTGTATCTATAACACAATACAATTTATACGAACAATTCCCTTCGTGTCTTTTCCATTCTACGTGACATTGGCAAAGTAATCGATGCTAAACTGGCACGTTTTGCAGCCATTAAGAAGAAAATTCAATTGTACAATTTATATGTAAGGATTCAAACCCACTATTTCTATAAATAAATAAGGCAGTGGTAGCCCA